AAAACCTCTTATTTTTAACAAAAAAAATTATTATTTAGGTTGTTAGTTTTTTTAAATAATTTTAAAAATACACTCTTATATCAATCTAATATATTCAAAAGAAAATAACTTCTTCAAATACTAATCACAAAATTTAAATTTTAAAGGTAAATACTTATTTATTAATAAGCATAAAAACGGGCCAGAATAGTACAACACCGCCTCACCACCTCACCAACTACGAGCTACCGCCATGTAAAGTAAACCTCACCGCTGAGCTGACGCCCAAATATTTCTCCTCCGTCTGTCTTTACAAAGCAAAATTTCAGAATCCCTCACTATTTCTGGGCTTCTGAGAATTTGTTGGAGTCATTTGGTAATCCTTTAGTTTGGCACTTGTTTCGTAGATTAGCAACTGGTAATCAATGTAAATTAATAAACAGAAGAGATTAAGAATATCCTTCATGAAATTGCAGTGTGCTTTATACAATTTGGATAGCATTGAGGACAATTTTCCATAGAGAATTGAGCTTGTACTAGAGAATCCTAGTAGTTGAATATAATTTTTTTTTTCTTTTAAGGATTTCTAATGGTGATTCAAATTGGTACTTTAAAATGTAAGTTGATTACATAGAATCACTCATAAGATTTGCTTTGCTTAGTCTTTTAAGCTAAACATCCTTTTCTCATCATGAACATAAGGATTTAAGTCCAAACCCTTCTCTTGACATGAATATCAAGATTCTGGTAAATGAAATGTAAGAAACTTTATATAAAAACATCATCACAAAATGTACATTGACTTGCTGAAATTTAGATTTTAGTATGGTCAACAACTAGCCATTTGTATTTCATACTTGGTCATGATAGGTGTGGTCTCTTTATACCAACAAGAATTAGATTCTTCACTTGGGGAGAAACTCGAACCAGTTGCAGTTGCAGTAGGCTTGAGCATATTCATTTCCCTTGCGTACAAATAATGAAAGGGTTTAGGAGGTGGCATGATGTCCACTCCTCCTTCTAGCCATTTCACCACTGCACTCATTGGTGGCCTTGCCTCAGGTGAGTCTTGAACACACCATAATGCTACCATGGACATTCTCTCTGCTTTTCCTCTATCCTTTTCTTCAATCCCACAAGTCTTTGTCATTTCAGCCAATTCACCTTTCTCGTATTTTTCCCATACATGTTTAGGAAACCAATCAAAGCTTTCAGGTGAACTCACAATTGTGTTTCTTCTCCTCCCAACAATCTCAAACAACAACATTCCAAAACTGTACACATCACATTTGTAAGTTATGGGATAATTCTTCAACAATAATTCTGGGGCAGAGTAACCCAGAGTTCCCCTATACCCAATGTTTGAAACATGGGTAAGATCCCTATTGCAAAACTTTGCGAGCCCAAAGTCAGCAACTTTAGGGGAAAAGTTTGCATCAAGGAGTACATTTGCAGGCTTTATATCATAGTGAATGATTCTTTGTTGACATTCTTCATGCAAATAAGCAATACCTTTGGCCGTCCCTGTTGCGATTTCTTGTAATTTTTCCCACTCAATCATCCCCTTTTCCCCAAACAAGTATTTATCAAGTGATCCATTTTCCATGAATTCATATACAAGCGCACTCACATCGTGATCATAGCAAAAACCATATAGTCTAACCAGATTAATATGGTATGTTCTTCCAATTGTGCCGACCTCCGCCATAAACTGCTCCTCTGCTGCTCTCTCAGAACTTCTCTCGAGCACCTTGACTGCAATCTTGACCCCATTCGGGAACTGCCCTTTGTAGACTACACCAAATCCCCCAGATCCCAACTTAGTCGAGTAATTGCTCGTGAATGCACAAAGCTGCTGAACAGTAAATCTCACCGGCTTATCCCTCGCCAACTCTTGTAGGAACTTCTCCATGGTGGGTGCATCAAACTCCAAAACTTGAACCACATGATGGGGTTGACTCACCGGCAGAGCAACTACGTTCCGCAAATCATTCACTATAGTTCTTTTGGCTCTCTTTGCACAGTAACAACAGATTGCTATGATGATCCCAAGTACCACCAAGTTCAAAATTATCGCTGCAAATCAATGTATCAAATGCCATTATTATCAATTTGGACAGGAAATTTCTAAGTCGGTTATGTTTAATGGTGCAAAAACACTTACCGGCGGCTACTTGTCCACCAGATGGAGAAGAGTCGGACGAGGAAGACATTGTGAAAGAAGAAGCTTGTTCGTCTAAGTTCTGAAATCAAGGAAGTTATATATAGATAGAAGAAGCTTGGTATGGCCTGAAGCATTGACTTCCACGGAGATTAATTACATTACGCAAAGAAAATTCGAAACTTCCAGCGCAGTTCCTCTTTCGTAATCTATTAGCCACTCCTCCACCGCCCATTGAATATTCAGAGCTACTTATGTTTAACATTTCAACTATTTTTTCTCAAAGGAAATTTTCCATGCAAACTCAACGAAACTACTTCGTTAGGCCCAAATGCAGGCTGTAGGGGCCGGCTAGCCCAAGAATTCGTGCAAATGGTCGTGTAAAAAAATATTAATTAATTAAATATATATATTTACGCATCAAATAAATAAAAAAATAAGAATAAAATATTTAAAATTATATTACTTTAATAAAATATTATGAATAAAAATAATTTTTTAAAAAAATTCGGTCAACAAATATTTTTCTATATTTGACATCCAACATGAACATGACATACAATATAAACGCCCAAAAGGTTCCTTCACCGAGAGGAGAAGCGTGAGAAACTATGCTTTTTTTTTTTTTTTTTTTTTTTTTTTTTTTTTCCATTTTGAATCGGACTCTGTGTCCGATAATTAGTTTCTAAATTTTAAGTATTTAGATGTAACTAATCAAAAATTTAATTTTTATCGTCAACTCAAAAAAAAAATAACTTTTCCCAAATTTTTTTATGTTCAAAAAAAAATTTTAATTTTTTTTCATTCTATAGAGGAAGATTACATATAAATAATAATATTTTTTTAAGATACTTTTGATTACCTAAAACATTGACTAAAATATAAAAAGGTAATGATACATGTACCAATCGGTTCAATAGCGGTGGATGCAGACCGCATAAAATAAATATTTCCCCCAATTAGTGTTAATTTTCCCCAATTAGTGTTAAGCCTCCAGCATCGATGAACTTGGGCTTATTTATGTATCCAAAAAATTTTAAGTGTTAAGCCTCGACGCTCTAATTCACAATCATATGTACTACCGTCCCTTCCTAGTTGGATTGGTGCAAGATAACGATGGGAAAACCTGGCAAATGGACGGGTTAGGTTGGGTTAGGGTCAGGTCAAAACGGGTAACGGGTCAAAACGGATTGGGTTAAAATGGGTCACGAGTCAATGGAGGTAGATCTTAATCCGTCCACCACGGATCACGGGTCAGCCCACAGTTAACCCAATTAAATTTTTTTTTTCTCTATAATTTGTACTTATTATCATTTAAAGAAAATTATTTTAAAAATTTTTTTAAAAAATTCAACATTTTGTAAAAAAAAATTTTTTCCATTAATTTAATGTATACATATTTATAGTTCTTTAAAATCATCTTCTCCACCTCCCTTCAAATAACAACATTAATCAAATTCAGGAATACCACACATTTATAAATCTCAATAGTGAAAAAAAAAAAAAAACAGTAGTAGCATGACAACCAAAAAACACAAACACTATTGGAACATATTTGTTCGGGTCATTGCTTTTAAAGAATCAATCAATTGAATGCATCAAAGCAAAGGACAAGATCAAGTAGAATTTTTGCTTGGAATGGAGAAAACTAGAAAGCATAATTAAGTAAATAACTTACCTTTGAAGGCTTTGGAAAGAAAAGTTGGTGACAAAGAGAGCACTTGTCAAATTCAAAGAACAAAGAAAGGAAGGGCTAAGTGGATGCAATGATGACTTGGTGAGACTAAGATCTAAGTTTGAGATAATGTTAAAGACTAAAGAGAAAAGGTGGAGTCGAAACTTGAATGGCGAAGGCTGTATAAACTATGGAGGTTGAAGAATATGAGAAGAGTTTGAACTTTGAAGAGTTAGAATCTTAGAGAGTATTACGGCAAGCAAGAATAGGAATGGTTGGGAGGTGAGTCATAATTGGAGTGAAATTATTTTTACTTTTAGAAGATGATGAGTTAAGAGAATCAATTAGCTAATTAGAGAAAATTACTCAATTATTAGAGGTTTAGGTGGGATTGAGAATTGAAAAACAAAATAAATAAATAATAAATTAAATTTTTTTTAATTTTTAAACGGGTAAACGAGTCAAACCCGTTAATCCGGTGGGTCAACCCGTTATTGACCTTTGACCCGTCGGGTTTTCTTAACCGGTCATTAACGGGTTGCAGGTCATAAAGATATGATCCTAACTTGTTTTAAACGGGCGAGTCATGTTTATATAAAATTTTAAGAATTTATCTCTTTATTTTTAGTTGTTGAGATTTATCATAATTTTTTAGATAAAAAATAATTATTTTTAATAAATATGATAAAAAATAAATAAATTTTAATTATTAAAAATAAAAAGATAAATGATTAAATTTTTATATAAATATAATATATAAAATTTATACATTAGTAGATTTCTACTCTAATATTTATTATTTTTAATTTATTTTATATTATTTGTTTGATGTCAAGTTATATTATAAAACAGTGTGATTATAAATTATATGTGTTTTATGCGGTTATGCCTTCTCAGGTGTCATAAGACTAGCCAACTATTCTACTTCAACTCAACTTAATGATATGGTGGGACGATTTTGAGATACCAAACACAACTCATTGCAGGACCCGAAATGGATTGGCACAAAACTTGTGCGCGGCAAGACAAAAACATAAAAAGGAAAATGATTATATATTTGTGTAAGGACAGGTCCGAGGTACCAAGACTCGGACTGCTACAGTAACTCCTCTATGACCGAAGTGCAGAATAAACCCAAAGCTTCCCGCTCAAATAGATGCATGGCAATGACAATAAGCATGCCCGCACCTGATTCCTTATGATGAGTCTCACAGCAAGTATGGTGGACGCTTGTGCATCTGGATACCTCTCAAATTCCCGGTCCCGGAATAATCGTCTGGATGAACACGTCAGGCTCCGATTATCTTGCTTGGCATGCCACGTGGGTTCCTCA